CAAGACCATCGATGATGAAGTCTTCATCGACGCCTAGAACATTGAACAGCTACATCGCTTTTACCCTTAATCTACGCACGCTTTCTCTTATCGGTTTCGCTATCGACTCCTCGATCTTTAGTGACACCCGACCCCAGCAATGGCAAGAGGTCGGGCCTCACTCGGGGACTGATAAGAGCGTATCTATCTAGTAGACATTCTTTATGCCCGACCCTTTCTCACATTAAGATCTAGAAGCAATTGTTATGGAAACAAACGCTGAGTAAAACTGGTCGGACCATAAGAAATCTACGCCCCAGCGGCTATGGCGTTTTTGCTCACCATCGTGATCAGAGTTTTTTGCCCGTACCCTGAGCTTTTTAGCCTTAATTATGGAAAGAGTCGGAATGCATTAAAGAATATATCTATCTGGTAGACATTCTCTATGCCCGACCATTTCTCACATTAAGATCTAGAAGAAAGGGTTCACCAAAGAGAGCAAAACAATTTTATAAGTGGCAGATCAAAGCCTGAAGTAAAGTGCCTGGTTGTCCACGCCTTAAACATATCCTAATGCCAGAAAGTTGGATTGGTTGTCCACTGAGAAAAGACGGGAAGACAAATGCAGAAACGAACGCTGAGTAAAACTTGTCGGACTGTAAGAAACCTACGCGCCCAGTGGCTACGTCGTTTTTGCTCACCAGCGTGATCAGAGTTTTTTCAACCGCACCCCAAGCTTTATAGCCTTAACGACAGAAAGGGTCAGAACACATTAACCTTTTTATACAAAAAGGGGAGAAGAGCTAAAAATCTGTTTAGCCATAACGAAATTTAAGAGCTTGTCCACTTATTACAGGTTCGCCGCCTGGCTTATCTACCTAACTAATTTCTTGGGGGATGATCTCATCCTCTATCTTGATAGGTAAGTCCTATGCCAGAGGGGCCACCTCCTTCTCGATGTTGTCCTGCTCGGCGTCGGTGTAGACAGGCACGAGAACCATCACAGGTAAGGTGTGATACGGAGCTGAAAACTCTCCTACGGCCCATTCAGACAAAGGAGTTCGAAGGCTGGCCCTCCGACGAGTTCACAGCCGCTCCAGGGCACCCTTAGAGTGAGGGGTGGAAAGGGATGGGCCTACTAGAGGCCAGTACCCGGGCGCATGAGCGCCGCGGGTATCCCGGGCCACGTTCGAGTCTTGGTCGGTTCCCAGTGCATCGGTTTTCCTCGAAGAAAGGCAACAAGCCCTTGGGACCGGTCAAACAGACCCAAGAACTATATGGATTGGCCACTGAGAATCTAGAGTCGGTCACCAGCTGACCCATTTCGAACTAGCCCATTAACAGCTCACCGAGCATCATGTTTTGTCCATCGAGGAAAAACGTGGTACGACGGACCGATCAGATCCTAGGGGACCATTGTCAAGAAAAATCTTTCCGACCTCCCGAATCCTACGGTTACATGCCCCCAAGAAGACCGATCATGACAAAAGGGAATCACCATTCTACCAGGCCCTTAGAGTCCTCCTGTCTAGAAAAGCCTCCAAAGGAGTATTGTACTCCTCCGCAGGCTCGGGGGCTACTGTGGGGTATCGATATTAGGGATAACCAAAGCAAGGAAGTTAGCGCCCATGCTAACTTCCCTGGATGCTCAAGATGTATTAAAAGGTCTCGCCCGACCCCAAGGCCATGGGCTCCGTCTCGCCCGACCTCGAGGCCAGGGACTCCGTCTCGCCCGACGCCTTGGGTGCGGGCTCCGTCTCGCCTGACCCCAAGGCCATGGGCTCTGTCTTGCCCAAGGCCGTGAACTCGGTCTTGCCCAAGCCCACGGGCACCGTCTTTCCCGACCTCGAGGCCACAGGCTCCGTCTCACCCGACCCTAAGGACACAGTTTCTGTCTCGCCCAAGGTCATGGGCTCCGTCTCGCCCGACCTCGACAACGCGGGTTCCATCTTGTCCGACGGGGACCCATACCGCCGCCAACCACTCCAGGTCCGAGCGTATGGGCCTGGGTCAAAAATCTGAAGCTAGGGAAGAGACTGGCACGCCTAAATATAACCCGTGGCCATGACGGGCCATACCTAGGGATTCACATCAAGAACAGTGTCGGGCGTGCCGGTGCTGTTCTACCTAATCCTCATACGGACGCTAACAGACGCATCAGTTCACCACGACGTCCGCTGGGACATAGTGGAACGCCATGACCGGCAGATGACGCCTGCGCATGGCACCAGTGACGAACAGGGCCACGACATGGAGCCATCCCTATTGACATCTATAGGATCGGCGGGACCCACATGAAGGAGAAGAAGGACCCGACAACCCTGGAAGCCTTCTTCTCTCTCGTTCTTCTCCTTTTCCTCTACTGTAACCCACGCTTTCCCTTCGCCTATAAAAGGGGAAGCAGGATGCCCAATGAAAGGGGAGATCTAGACACAAGAGCACGACACGAGCACACGGCTAAGCGGCAAGCGAGCTCTCAGCACCCGTTCACTCCTTCCACCGTAGACTTGGGATCCTCTCCCCCTCTCGCCTGTTTGTAACCCCTACTGTAGACCAAGTGCCAGTAACACGAGCAGCAGCGAACTGGATGTAGGGACGTTCCGCACGAACCATTATAAACCCTTGTGTTCTTCGAGCACACCATCTGAGCCAGACGCGCAAATACAAATTTACTCGTCGGTGGTCTGAAAACACCGACAATGTCGCAAGATAGACTCTGGCTATGGAAATATTTACCAAGCATGGACGGTTGTCGTTGAAACAACTTAGCATTTAGTCAATCATCCCTTTGTTTGGTTTCGCTTTCTGAGAGCTAAAAAACACCAAGAGCCTGGAACTGTAATAAGAATTGGTTGTGTGCAAAACTCTTGTAGAGACTGGAATAAACTTCCTTTTTTTTCTAAAAAATGATATGGCTGTACAGAATACCATTAAGACTATGATTTCCATACAAGAGTCTACTAAATTATGCTTCCATTGAACTATATTCTAGAAGACAACTCCGGAACCCTGAGTAAGCTCGACTCAAGTCTAACTCCCACACTATAGTATCCTATACTACTAAGATAGAATGGAGCTACACTACTCTTCACTTGGAGCTTGAAGGCATGAATGGTAGAGGGGGTATGAGCCTCTATTTATAGTGAGAGGTGGAGTAGGGGCTACTCCAATGCCACGTCAGCGATATGTGTTCCTCTTCATGTCATCCATTGGATCAAACCGCATTAAACCACCATTTTATCAAGGGTGGAGATCATCTGAGGTGCATAGCAGCATGTTGGCGTTGACGGTGATTTCACCATATATTTATACAGTCAAAACCGTCAACAAAACACTGTTTCTAGGGGCTAACAAGCAAGGGAATTTGTACAACTAACGACATGTAAATGTGGAACCAAGTGAATTTGTACTAAAAACCTTCATGTCCTTGATTGTTAGCTTCCTGAAAGAGTGTTTTGTTGATGGTTTTTTATATGTAAAAATATGGTGAAATTACCATCAATAGGTAGCCCATTCGGGATAGATTTTTGTCCTCTTACTATCTCGCCTACCACCCCCATGAGCGAGGGTGTGTATTCACCTTTATATCTATCTTACCTTACCAGGTGTCATTGCTATAAAGATCCTCTCTACCCAAATATCATAAACCCCTTCTAGCATCATAGGACGACCTTGATCCTTTGTTAGTTCACTTCTTGTTCCCCATGGAAATCATGATACCTGGAATACTCCCGGTGAAGGCTACATTGATAATCGTAGGCTTACGGTTTATCTGTTTGCCAGTTTAGGTGCTAACAGCTGCAAGGTAGTGGAAGCTAGAGGGCCCACTTGACAGGTCGATCGACCTAGGGGTGGGGTCGGCTGACCCCTCCAATGGCAGGTGGGACCTCCATCTTCCTTCTAGAAGCATGGCCCACTTCTCATGGTGTGTGTTTAACACTTGGGTTTTGCGGTATTCCAAGTATCGTATCCATATGGAA